AAAGAAAGAAAGAAAGAAAGAAAGAAAGAAAGAAAGAAAGAAAGAAAGAAAACAAAACATATTCTGCACCTGTTTTCCTTGGGTACTCATTTATCCAAGTTAGTTGAAAAACAGCTTCGTGATGACATGGACATTTGACGATGGTGAAGAGTTGTTTGTCTCAAGCATGGTATGTTTCACTTCGTAGATTAGTTGTATTGCTTTCTGCCCAGGTACTCTATATCATTAAGGCAAATAATTAGTGATTTGGTGCAAAAACACTAAGAATCGGCCAGCATGAGTGTATGGCAGGGCAGCCTGGGCAGGAGAGATGGATAGAAGAGGTGGTTCTGTGCAGGCTGGGATGGCAGTGCTGAGTGTGATATGTCCCCACAGGTCACCCAGCTGTACGTACCAGCGTCCAGACATGTGTGGCGGTTCCGGCGGATGGGCCGGATCGGGCCGCTGCAGTCCACTCTGGAGGGTGAGTGCCCCACGCCACTGAACACGCCTGCACAGGGCATCGGCTCTGCAGGCGTGGTTCTGCTGCTGGTGAATGTGCCATGTTATGCCCACCGCCAGAGTCAGCCTCACGAGGAGCTCAAGACGCCGGCTTCCTGGGGCCAGTGCCTCACCCCATTCCTGACTGGCATTTTGCCTTTTCCAGAAGGTCTTTCGTGGAATCATTTGCAGGTCACCTGTGAGCAGCTCCTTCATCCATTGCAGGGCGGGGCTTCGCTTACCGGGGCTGGCCCTCCTGGGGTGCAACCTGCACTGTGCAGGGTGCTGTAGCTTGCTAATGTGCCCCTCTGCAAGGAGAATAGGGTCTTTCCTCAGTCTCTGGTGCCGCTGCAGACGTACTTTTTTTCCCCCTATTTGGATAAATATCAGGAAGTAAGAGTCCTGAATCCTGTGCCAAGTGTGTGCTTAACTTTACAAAAGACAGAAACCTCTTTTAGAGTAGCTGCTCCATGCAGTGTCTGTGACCAGCACTGTGCGCCTTCCTGTTGTCTGGAGCCTGTTTGTATTAGCTACTCAAATGGTGCAGTGATGACGCTCGGGTTTGGGGCTGTATTTCCAAGCCGGTGACATTGAACATTTTTCATGCATGGCTTTTTTCTTTTTTAAGCAGTGTCAGTTTTCTATTTTATTTTTTAAATCATTTATTTATTTAGGGCAGGGTCTCTCTATGTAGCTTGGACTCGTAGTGATCCTCCTGTCTCATCCTCCTCAGTGCTGGGATCACAGGCATGTGGCACAGCATATGGTACTGGGGATTGAACCCAGGTCCTTGCACTTACCAGGCAGGTGCTTAGACCACTGGGCTATCTCCTCATTCGTAAAATGTATTTTCTAATGATACACAGTGCTTGAGATTAAGGTATTCCAAGCCAGTGGGGATTTGGTCAAATAATTGTGAGGAGGAAAACAAATATATTCATAAATATATTCATATGACTGCACTTCTCTTTTTTTTTTTTTTTTTTTTTTGTGGTACTGGGGATTGAACTCAGGACCCTGTACTTGCCAGGCAAGCACTTATTCTACTGAGCTAGCTCCCTGGCCCTTTGACTGTGCACTTCTAACACCCGACTGCAGTGTGGTGACAAACAGCATGATGTAGGTTCTCTTAGATCCCACTGCTGCTAGAGATGTTAACAGTGATGAGATCCGGCTGGTACCTGAACTGAGTGAACCGATAATAAGTCTTTGCATGTGTTGCAGTGGGAGTGGAGTCACCGCCACTGTCGGTGTCCGAAGAGCGGCAGCTTGCCATCCTGACAGAACTGCCCTTTGTGGTCCCATTTGAGGAGCGAGTGAAGGTATGGTGTGGCTTCGCTTCTGTTGTGACTTGCTGCTCCTCCTTGTGAGAGCTTAGCCTGCTGGTGTCGGGGAGCAAGGCTCGGCTCCCACTCATCTTGCAGGCTCTGTAGGCTGTGCTATGTGCTGGGCCCCATCCCCGCTCTGCGCCCCGATCGGGCGTCTTCCTCCCAGCTTTGCTTGCTGGCAGCGACTTGGGTCTGGGGAACCCGCCTTTGCTGTGGTGCATTTGTGCTGGTGTTAAAACGCAAAAGTAGGGCCAGGGAGATAGCTCAGTAGTGCACAAGGTTCTGAGTTCAGTCCCTGGTACCACCGAAAAGAAAAAAATTGCAAAAGTAGTAAAGGTGCATTTTTGTATATTGAGGTGAAAGTAACTGCTTTGTAAAAATGAAATGGGCAGGGCCAGGGAGATGGCTCAGTAGAATAAGCGCTTGCCTGGCAATCACAAGGACCTGAGTTCAATCCCTGGTTCCGCAAAAAAGGAAAAAAAATGAAATGGGCAGATACCTTAGCTCTTAATTTTGGCGAGTGTATGAAACTTTGTTTACATATATCTGTTTCCAAATTTTAAAATGCCTTGCAAAATGTCTGGAATTTAACAGGCTTTATGGTCAGGTAGAAACTTCAACATAGTGTCATTTAGCCTGTGCATTCTTCAAGGTGAGCAAAAGAGTGGCTTTGGACGCTTCGTGTTTCTTCACCGAAAACCACAAACACAGGCAGCATAGGATGCGATGCCTGAGCTCCCTCTGCTGGACTTTCAACATCAAGAAAATTACTTAACTTTCATTATTGTGGAGTTTCTGACATGCATGCTTTACAGAACAGTTCTTCTTCCATCCCTATGATTTTAGGAAGGTTTATAAATGAAAACATACCACAGCTCGGATTTTCAAACTTTATCATAATGTGGAGAAGGCAGCAGTGTTAGAACTACATAGCCAAGTGGTGGTCTGTGCCCACGTTCCCAAGTACCTGGGAAATTAAGGCCGGATCCACATGCGTTGAGGCCAGCCTGCACGACACTGTAGGACCTTGTCTCAAAAGGAATGCTGTTTGGGCCCACAAGATAGCTCAACAGACTTAAGTGCCTGCCTAGGCAAGCCCACGAACCAGGTTCGATCCCTGGCACATGCCGTGCCAGCCCCATCGTCGGGCTTGCTGAGCCAGCCACCAAGTCCAGGCATGGTGACACACGCCTATAATCCCAGCGCTGGGGAGGCTGAAAACAGGAGGATCACTATGAGTCCGAGCTGTGTAGTGAGGCCCTATACCAAATACATTTAAAAAAAAAAAAAAGTACAGTAGTCACTCATATTTATTATTTATATTCTCTTATTGATAAAATCAATATTTTTATATATTGGACACAAAATTTAAGTGTTAATGGAGCTACATACAGAAAACTTATTTAGCAGGTTTGTGTTATAACAAAGAATTTATTCTGACAATCTTGTAATTTCCTGTTAGATCTTTCAAAGGTTAATTTATGCCGATAAGCAAGAAGTTCAAGGGGATGGCCCATTTCTGGATGGCATTAATGTCACAATAAGAAGAAACTATATTTATGAAGACGCTTACGACAAACTCTCCCCAGAAAACGGTATTGTATAATTCTCTGAGTGTGTCAAGGGCAGGAGGCTGGGCAGTGCCCTTAGGAGAGGGCTGTTAAGGGTCTGCCTTCAGCAAGTTCTACAGTCGTGACTGCAGACCTGTTAGAGACCTGTGCCCGCACAGCGCCTGAGACGGCAGCGCTGGAAGCAAGCTGAGTGCCGAGTCAGGCAAGCGCGAGCGAGCGCACGTGGAGGGGCCGCAGTCCAATTCCCAGCACCTCTTGGCGCACCACCCTGCCCCCGGGTGCGCTGAGCCGGCCACAGAAGAGACAAGCAAATAGGCTTACCATCATTGTTGTAGCTTTTTTTTTTTTTTTAAGATAGGCTCTCGTTTTATAGTTCAGGCTGACCTAGAACTCAAACTCTGCTGATCCTCCTGCCTCAGCCTCCCAAGCGCTGGTATTACAGGTGTGTACTACCTCTCCCAGTTCTCTAGAATGACTTTTATAAGAAATGCAAAGTTACCATGTCTGCATCTTGTACAGCAGTTAACCACTAGGAAGAATGTATGCAATGTGTTAATTATTGAAACTGTCCTACCAATTTGGTTTGAAACTGTCTCATTGCTATTAGTTTCTCAATAA